GCGTATGTGTGAAAACCTGCGAATTTAGGCAAAGGACAGAGAAGCAACACCACAAGTGAAAGGAGAGGCGACTGGATCAATGTATATAGCTTGAGTAATGTTACTGTTTATCAGCGAGCAAATGATGGTGCTTTTGGATGTGAGGGTGGGCACCTCTGATTCCTAATACGGCACGTACAGGCGCTTGTCTGGGGTATGGGGTGAGACCATCCACGGTGACAACCCGGGGTGAACCCGCCCCGGCCCAGTGGAGACTGGGGGGTGCTCAGAGGACCCTTGGGACCTCAAACCTCGTCCAGAGGTAAAACGGGACAGCCGCCTTGTCAGCGGCGCGAAAAGTCCCAGCCCAGGGCTAGGCAAAAGAACAGCCAACGAGCACCCCCCGACAGGGTTTTTGCCCTTTTGTGTGACCTGTCACGCAACGTCACGCGTGACAGTAACGTAACCCAGTTACGTAACGTCACGCGTGAAGGTAACGTGGGGTAACACAATCACCTGTTTTTGATAAGACTAAGAGATAGTTTCGTGTTTTTTCGCTCAAAATTTAGTTCAAATCTGCAGTTTAATCCGCAAGTTTTTTTCTATATTCTTCCCTAACCTGGTCCCGAACGTGGTTTCTTATTTTTTCAATATCTGGCTGGATTGGATTTCTTTGTATTCACGCAAAGTTCGAGCGTAAAGTCTCTTTAAGTTGGCGATATTTCTGCATTTCATGTGTGATCAGTTGAAACTCTGTGTCAGAAACCCAGTTATCATTCAGAGCTTGTGAGACAGAGCAGTTTATTGAGTCACGTTTTGCAATAGCCAGAGAATGGATTCTCGAGTGCTTATTAACTTTGCGTTCAAGCTTGTTGACAACGGACAGGCCAGTGGAAACTGCGCCAGATAAAGCAGCTATCCCAGCAACAGGCACGCCGACAACAATTCCAACACCAGTGAGTGATGTTGCGACAGCCCCAGAAGACAGAACTGCCGTGAAGGCACCAAGGCCAACCAGGGAATAGTGAAGCGCTTTCC